AAACAAACACAATTTTCTCTGCTTCTAAACCGCATTTTCAGCTACGACTTCCTGGAAATATCGAACTGTTTGCTTTGACCAGATTTACGAGCATGTAAACCTGGCATTATCCCTTAAATTTATTATAGCTATATATTAAATCGGTTAAATAAGAAGAAGAAGAAGGGAAAAAAACAATAAGTTTTACAGAAAAAACTTTGTTTAAAAAAAACAGAGGAACCGCAAATCGACACGTCACAATTCCTTCATTCGTAAAGCATTAAAAACAGGAATCATCGTCAAAAAAAAAATTAAATTAATTCTGCTAATAAATATGTTTATTAAAATACAGGGTGGCCCAAAAGTCGCTTAACCGTGTTTTATGTTTGTGTTCCAACTACACTTGTGAATATGAAACATAAACTGAATTTTCATAACAAAGATCTCATTTCGAATAAATTTTAGTAAAGTTTATAAATACAGTGGTTAACGGAATTTTGGGCCACCCCTATATATATATTAATTAATCTTGCATAGCTTATTATCGCTAAACACATTCAAGCTAAACTCGTTGATATTTCTGTCATTAGTAGAAGTAGGAAATTAACTACGGAAGGTAATTAACTGTAAAGCGATAATTGTAATCCTACCTTACAACCATTGTAGAAACGACTAATCACAGAATAATATTCAACATTTCGTCAAACAGAAGATTATTAATAGATTGAGATATATATATCCACCTGCCATCGTACAATGCCTTATGTTATGCATTCTAACTACCGAATAAATATGTCTCGTTATACAATTATATACCGTCCTCCGCCCAAACAATTAAGATAATAAACCGGTTCTATAACTCAAAATGTATATATAATGCTATTGTTTTTTTCTTTTTGTTGATTTTAATGAAACTTAAACTGAGCGCAGTTGCATGGTACGGGTTCATTTAGTGCTTCACACTACTGCAATTATTTTGTATGGAAGTATATGCTAAATGGTTAAGGTTTAAAGGCGAAATTATATGCCATTTTTCACGTGTAATTCTCAGTTTAAACTTTTTTCAGGATGAAGGGAGGAATGAGAGTCCTTCCTTCTGTTTTTCCTATACTTATGCCTAAAGATGGATTCTCATTCCTCAGCTTGTCACTAAAGAGAAAGACTCCTTCCTTAGCTCGTGTCTGAAGAAGGCTCTTTCCTCAGCTTATCCCTGAAAAAAGCCTCTCCTTTCTTAGATTATCTCTGCAGAGGTACCCTCTTTCCTCAGGTCGTGCGTGACAAAGGAATCTCCTTACTCAGCTTATCTTTGAATAGAAACTCTCTTTCGTTAGGATGAGCTGAAATTGTCCTATAAGGGGTGGCTTTTTTTATTTTAAAAGCTCAAGCTGGCTTATGTACTAGTTTACACTATACTGCGACGTATCGATAGAAGTGTGCACTCTATCCAAATATTTAAGGTATAAGATTTAAAATTATACCATTTTAATTACTCTCCATTCTCTAACATTTATGTTCTAAGCAAATTCAAGATTATATCTGGAAAAAGGGCGTTTTTCTCGTGAATATACTAAAATTGTACTGTAAAAGATTGATTTTCACTTTAAAATGTGTACAAAACAGTGTAAAACTTATCAGAAACAAGGACTAAACAGGCTTTACGAAAGTAATGAGAGTAAATTTCTCACGCGTGATTCTATATAGCTTACTTACACTATAAATACGGCTTGTTTTAATGCAATATTTTAAAACTTTTGGGGTTTAAATTGTATAATGCATTAGATGTTAACAGATAAGGTAAGTTCAATCTATGTATTATGATTATAATGCAAAAATATAACAGGGAGAGAGAGCTGTGATGCGTGCAAATTCCTCACAGTTGAGTGCATTCAGCATTACTTTAATTACTGTAAAACTATTCTATTATCGGAAAGAATATTCAATTTTATATGCAACCACAATACAAATTACCTAATTTAATATATAATTTATTTTATTTAAAAGTAAATGGAGTTACTATAATGGATGAGGCACTATCCTAAGAGGAGGAGCCATAGCATAATACAGTAAAGATTAAAAATTAACCAGTTATTTTGGGCTGGCTTTTATGGGCAGACCCTTATAGGTAGGATTATGAAGGACAGACTAACAACAGGAGAAATGTTTATGTCTGTAATTTTCAAATTGCACATCAATAATCTGAAATTAAGTATATATTTTTACGAAGAAAGTAGTGTTAGTGACTCCTATAGATGATTAAGTCCATTGTTATAGTAAGAGAAGTGGATCCACAGATGGGGAATGGGCTCTTCCGGTATTATATACGACCACAGCATACCATATCGAATTAATATTTAGTGAACTATAAAGAGTTTTGGGATGAGTAGTAGTATACAGCTGGGATAGTATGGAGGGTAGTGTAATATCTTCCAGGAGACCGCCTCGAGTGGTGTATCACTAAAAGCTGCTGTCACGAAAGGAAAGCATCTTTCGGCTTCAGGTGACAACACAGTTTATCTCCTCTCAATAATATTTAGTGAATGGAACATGGTTCCTAGTATGCATCTGGGAGAAGAAGAAAAGCGGAGATGGGAATTTTTCCGAGTGAATCTTTCAGAGAGATGCATCAAAGAGAATAAAAGGAAATATTTTCATATAATAAAAAACAGAATTTGTGAATAAAAGTAAAAAGGAAAAAATTTACCGCGATTTGGAGCACGTAGAAGATATCTTTTTACCATTCTATTTCTAAACCGTGATGTGGCAAAGTGTGGTTTAACCACAATGCTAATCGCATAGGATAAAGAAAATTCAACTGAAAATGACTTGATAAATTTACTCCTTACAGCAGCCATTTTACAGAAAACTAAATCAATTTTATATTATAAAATGCAACAATAAGTTAAAAAAAATTAAGTTAAATCGGAAGAAAATCTAAAACATTCCACCCAATAATTGAAATCGCTGTTTAGCTGTCTAAATTTTAACTTTACGGTATAATTATTGAGCGTGTTTTGCTTTATTATTGTGTATTTACATATCTCAGTAACAGTACTCTCAGAGTTAACGTGATATGTCTTCAATAATTACGTGTATATCATTAGAATTAACACGAATATCCTCATTAAATATGAATACCCTCAAAATTAAAATGGAATATTTTCAATAATTATGTGAATATTTTTAGTATTAACGTGAAATATCCAGTAAATTAAAGTAATCCACATTAATGTGAAGTATATTAATTGATTGGGAATATTCCACGTCAATTCTCAGAAGATTTTCAAATTATAAATTCAATTAAGCATTATCCTGAAAAGTTTTACTTCATTATGTTATTATATATATATATATTTTATTTACTTTTACAGCTGCAAGTTTCAGACATTTTAAAAAATTAATAGACTGACAGGAAAGAAAGTCTATTAAACTCCGTTCAGAACGACAAACCAATAAAAGTTGAACTTTCTCTACTCCCAAAGTATTTATTGTCGAAGAGGAAAACTGCCCTTCATCCTAAAGAAAGCGCAGTAAAGTGTCCAGATTGTGACAGCAATCACGGAATTGTCACGGTTTAACAATTGCTCTTCTTCATCCACGGTACAAGTACTCAATTAGGTAGCTCCATTTAGAAAGTTCGCTTCTACACATATTAAGGAAACTTCCATTGGGAATCTTAACAGATGCTGCTGCGCTCATCCAAAGTTTCCAGCATAACATGGCAAAATAGGAAATGTTTCCCAGCTACATGGATGCAATCATATACAAGAATCATCAGAGGAGATGCTAAGGGTTTCTTGGGATATCGATACTTCTCTCCGCATCTTCTTTATCTCACTCCTGCAACTCTTTCCACTCTCGATACAAGTTGATTTATAGAGGCAATTGCTGACTTTATTCCTACAAACAAAAGATTCTCAGAAGTTTCTTACTGTAGCCTTCACTTATATTGTAATGGCTTTGCTAAAATTACACCATTTTATTCCATTTAACTGCGCTCTTTTATTAAGTTTTAAGCGTTATAAAGCATCCTATTCTACAGAAAAAGTAATTAATTCATTCTCTCTTATACGTTTCCTGCTATAATTTTACTAAAATTATGCTTGATATGCTCGATTTAAATTGCTTCCTGCGTGAATTTTAAGCGCTGTTAAGATTGTTATTTAAGAAAGAAATCAAATTAAACGAATAAAATTAAAATTACAACAATTCTACAGGAGAATTAAGCGGTTGTTACTGTAACAGTTGGCTTGTAACACGATCAATTCGTTAAAATGATGCTTATTATTCAATTTAACAAGCTTCTTACAAGTTTTTTTAAAGTTTCTAAGAAGATTTTTAAGTGAAAAAAATGTCCAATCAATAGAATAAATTTAAAATAACAACAGAGTAACACTTCCAGAATTGACTTTATCATTTGTTACTCGTAACGATTGCTTAAAATTGCATCATAAAACCGTTTTTTTTTCTTTTATCGACAGAAAATTAAATTAATTAAAGAAAATTAAGAGAATAATATGTTAATTACCCCCCGAATAAACTAATTTATACGCTAATTTTACACGTTACGTGTTACTTTCCTAAATTTTTATTTTTTCGACGGCCATTTTTGCAATGCTAAATTTTCTAAGAAACCTTCTGGAGAAATGTCCGCTAATGACGATTACATACTAATTTTCTGAAAAATTGAAATTGTGCTCATTATTTAAGGCCCTTTATTAGAAGCCAAAAGCACTAATTAGCTTAATATAAATCATAACGTTGTTGTTGTTGTTGCTGCTGCTGCTACTGTAGCTGTTGTTGTTACGTGGGGTGCTATTATTGTTACGTCAGCAGCACGTAATCATTTTAGAGAATTAAAACGAAGATATTTGGAACATCTCCAAAATATTTGGAATGTTGGAATGCATTTCTAGCGTTATAAAGAAGAAGAAAGAAGGGAAGACATAGAAATTTTTAGAGATTATTTGGAATTCCGAAAGAAATAACTCGAGAGGAATTGTAGAAAAACGTAATAAACGTACCTGTTGTGGGCGGTAAATCGAAGATGGAATTCCATGTTGGCCGAACGTCTGATTCGATGACGCTGATCTCGCAAGGAATGATGGTCATAATACAATGGTTCAAAATGGCGGATGAAATCGTTCAGAACCAGACCTAAAGATGTATAAAAAAAAGAATATATGATGGAGAGATGGTTGTAAAATTCTTCTTTACTCTTACTACTATAGTAACACGCGTATGGTTCAGAACATCTGGAATTTTTAATATTGCCTTTGTCTTAAACTAGTGTTATACGCGATCTGAGTATTGTAAAGCTTTACGTAATAGAATAACGCACGGAAATACAATAGATTTTTATGTTTTCTTGGCTGTAATAATAAGAAAACTTATTACTTTTCGTTGTTTCGTACAGTGTTGTAATCATTTTTTTTTTGCCTGGTAATACATAAGAATGGTGTTTTACGAATTAGGCCAGTTCACAAAGGCTTTTCTTACGTTATGTTATGTCTGGCCAATAAAACAAAACGTTTAAAATAACGTCTTATTTGATTGGCCAGACATAATGTAACGTAAGAAGAGCCAGTGTGAACCAGCCTAATTCGTACACAAGTAGTAAAACACCATTTTTGAAGAAAAGTGTGTCTGAATGCAGTCTTAAACATAAAACATAGGACAGTCTGTACATGTTTTGAGTAATTGTACGCTGTGAAAAGAGGGCATGTCCTCCTTTTTTCGAGAGGTTACTGAGGTTACCATATAGAGAATATGTCCTCCATTTTCACTTTAAAAAATGCCGTCCTCTATTCAAACGCACTCGTAGTGTCCTCTGTACAAAACAGTTTGTCCGCCATATACAGGTTTATATCTGGTAAGGCTGACTACGAATAGTTTTATTGTGTAATAAAATGTAAAAACATTGCTACATTGTTTTAATGCACAAGGTAAGATAACAGTAATATATTTGTATATTTATAGTGTTAAATGTACAATTTACTTGTCCTCAGTATCGTACACTACGTTTATTGTATTGTATAGTACTGTACATAAAATAGTACAATTTAATTCTTTTTAAACATTTAAAAAGCATTTAAGTAATTTAAACTGTTCAGTGGGCCTGGTCAAACCCACAATAGGTCTGAGGAAAGGCTTTAGAGTGGAAGGAATAAAAGAAACTGTACAGTTTAATAAAATAATTGTACAACTGTATAAATGACAGATTTATAATTTTTATATAATATATATTTATAATATATTAGCTGCGTGTGCCCAGGGTTACTCGGGTTTTTGAGGGGTGAGGATAAGTTAAAATTACTTGGCTTTAGATGTATTTGGGGTGGAGACCTCTACAGTATTCTTTCTATAGTGTTGAAGCATATCCACGCCAAATTTAGTTATATACGTTGAACAGTATGGAACCCTTTACTTAACATACATACAAACACATATTTTGACCTTTATATAGCCTATATAAATAATAATATAACAATTCACCTAGAAGAAATCAATACACTATAAAAAATTTTTATACTGTCATTTACACTTATAAAATTATTATATTAAGAAATTTATATTATTTATATGAAAAAATCTTGTTAAAAATTACAAATTTTAATAATTAAATTATAAGTAAAATTTACATATAAATAATTTAAAATTTTGTAATATTTATTTATTTCTTTTTACAGTATATCATTAACAGAATAATCGCAGAGAAATGCGAGTTAAGAAACTACTCTTATTGAATTGAAGAAAATATGGGTTAAAAATGTCCAGAAAGATTTTTATTCTGTTACCAAACAAGGTTAAGAGTTGGCTCTGTAACCAAGTAGTGTAAGTGCAATTTCTTGCTTTGCTACTAGAATATTTCTTTCGATTGTGAGTCGTCTTATTATTGCTAACTGAATAAAAATGGAATGAAAATAAGTTTCGATGCAATTTAATAAGATTATTCAAGAAAAAAATTACGAGTACAGTATAGCAAGGAAAAAGTAATTATATCTTTAATTATAATGTTTCATGACTCAAAATTTTCATTAAAAAATTAATACAAAAGATATCATGAAAATGACATTTTGTCAGTTTATAAAAAGGCAGTGGAAAAATGACATTTTGCCAGTTTATAAAAAGCAGTGGGAAAAGTTTCCTGGAAAAATAACATTTTGCCAGTTTATAAAAAGGCAGTGGGAAAAGTTTCCTGAAAAAATGACATTTTGCCAGTTTATAAAAAGGCAGTGAGAAAAGTTTGGTGGAATAATGACATTTTGCCAGTTTATAAAAAGCAGTGGGAAAAGTTTCCTGGAAAAATAACATTTTGCCAGTTTATAAAAAGGCAGTGGGAAAAGTTTCCTGAAAAAATGACATTTTGCCAGTTTATAAAAAGGCAGTGAGAAAAGTTTGGTGGAAGAATGACATTTTGCCAGTTTATAAAAGGACCAATATAACAAGTTGTGCAAAAAAATTAAGCATTAAATCAAACAGTATCCGCTATTTATAAATTAACACAAAAATGTGAAAAAAGTTTAAAAATCACACATAAAATATTGCGAAATGTATATTTTAAAATAAGTATTAAGTCATAAAACTTTTCATAATACAGACTTTCGTTACAACGTATCAATTCTTGTAAATTTAAAGAATATAACGAGTACCCAATTAAGAATTCAGATGATCCTTGTAAACATTCGTGGCACACAGTACAGATAATGTTTAAAGGATTCAAAAATGGGCACTTTTACGAAATTCTCTGGCGTGTACAATTGTACAAGATGATTTTTCGATGATTTTATTCCGTTTGGAAGATTACCAATCAACTAAGAAGACGTTGTGCATACAGCACAACCTCCAAGCATCGCTGTGCCATTACACGTTCCCAAATCATACAACATGTTAGTGTATTCTGCATTTGTAGAGTATCGATCTACGGACATACTGCAACTTCAAATCAAAGAAAACTCTCTTCCTGTTCGAGCTGAATAGCAAATTGTTAGAATCGAATGGAAAAGGATATTTAAAGAAAACTGAACTATGCCATCCTCTTGACTCTTCCCTTACCATTTATTTTTCTTTTTTCTTTTTTGAGTGTATTCTACTTATCTAACTGTAAACTTGCTCTTATAATGAAATCATTAAAATATAATGGAATAAAACTTGATAAAAAATTTTAAAAAATTCAGCAACGAGTTGCGTAACTTTCCCGGCAAAAAAGTTAAAATTGCGTGTGGCTCCATCTGTTATGTGATTTTATAAAAATGTTTTTATATTATTAATTATTGTGGAATGGCAAAAGCTTAATTTCGAGGATAGAGGCGAGTTTTGTTAATAATTGTAAATGCTAATAACGAGGAAATCATAAAGTTGGACCCCACTCAAGATACGACACGTGAACCTCTCCATTTCTCCAACCCGTCGACCTTTAACCACCAAAATTTAACAGAAAAAATGCACTTTATACACAAACCTTTCTTCAAAATTTATGAAAATTTCGGCAAAAGGCACGTGAGTTATTAAGCTACAAATTGGCTGAAGAGAAGCCTGCCCTCCCACACACTAAGATTTATACATACGGAAAAGACCTCAACTTTTTTAAAAATCTCGTTGTTTGAAGGTCCCCCGAGTACAAAAATATAAAAAATCTTCGGGGGGTCATTTTTTGAATGGTTCCTCTGCTATATATAACACCTAAGAAAGTAAAATGCATTTCTACCCCCATTAGAAGGTTTTATTGTGGCTTAATTGAAGATAAAATAAGTTAAAATGCAACAAAAAATAATCTTTTAACACTTTTTATAAAAAAATTTATCTATAAAAATACAAAAATTTAATAAATTTTTAAAGAGTGATATTTTTTTTTTTACTTTAATTTTCTCTAAAGGTTTATCATAAGAAAAAAAAAGGAAAATATTTAACTTATTATAATTATATTAATTAAATTAAAAAATGTTCAAAGTTTAATGTAATAAAAATGAAGTAATAAATTATATTATATATTATTATGTTATTTTTATTTTAATAAAAATTTAATTATGCATCGATATTTAATTTAAAAACCTCTACGGAATATCTTTAATGATACGTGCTTATAAATCTTAAATTATCATTTTGTTTATGAAGTTTTTAAGTAAATCGATGTTCGGCGATGTTTTCTATTTTATAAATTCATAAAATTCGTTTATTTTTTCAAAATATTTTTAAACTTGCTACTTCTTAGAATCTTAGAATGATGTCATTTCAATACCTTGATATATTATTATTATTATTATTTTAAGCACATTTTAATAATTTTAAAATAAAACTTAAATAAACAAGTCTAGAAGCTAATTTAAAAATTTAATAATAAAAATATTATTATCATTTAGATATTTTATTTTAAAAATGGTATTAAAATTCATTTTCTACCCCCCTACTCTCTGCTGTCTATTTCTCTCTTTCTCTTCCTTTCTTTTCGCTCCCTTTCTGTCCCTATTTCTTTCCTTTCCCCCCTCTCTCTCTTTTTTTTTCATGCTCCCTTTCTGTCCCTATTTTTTTCCCTTCCTCTCTCTCTCTTTTTTTTCTTTCTTCACGCTCCCTTTCTGTCTCAATTTCTTTCCCTTCCCCTCTCTCTTCTTTTCTATCCCCTCTCCTTTTTCTCTGTATTCTTTTCCCCCACTCTCTCTTTTTCTCCCCTCTCCCCTTTCTCTCTCTCCTTTTCTCTCCCTCTCTCTGTGTTCCCCCTTTTCCCTCTATCTCTCTTTCTCACTTCTTCCTCTCTCCCTTTCTCTCTCTCTCTCTCGCGTTTCCCCTTGCTTCACTCTCTCTCTGTCTTCCCTCCTCTTCCCCCTACCTCCCTTCCCCTATCTCTCTTTCTCATTAGCTCTCTTCCCCCTCTCTCTCCCTTTCTTTCCTCCTTCTATCTCTCCCCTTCTTCCTATTCCTCTCTCCCTTTCTTCCTATTCCTCTCCCTCCCTCTTCCCTTTTCTTTCCCTCTATCTCCATTTCTCTCCTTGTCTCTTCCTCTTCCTCTCTCTCTATTTTTTCTTTTAATTTTTAATTTTAATAATATTTTTATATCTTTTAAGAATAAACTTTATTTTCGGGAGTTATAAAAAATTTATTAAAATGAATTCAAATAAAACATAAAAGCGAAGCGTATTAAATAATTTTGTTAACAGAAATGA